TCCTGCACCTCATTTTTTGTTGACGCTGCGTGCCGTGCACGTACATGTTTAAAACACTCATGATCAATGTTAGATCAAGGGTACGTACAACCACCCGGGGGCCCGCTAGTCTCGCCACGCTTTGCAGGCGTGCACCCAGAGCCGTCTCCCTGGCCTTCTCCGGCTGGGCCACGCCGCCAGTGGTGAGCTGTGCCTTCGAGCGAACCAGGGGCCGAGGGGTTTCCGGGTAAAACCCGAATTCGAAGCTTAATTAATTAAGGGGACCCTCAAGAAAGCACTACACACACACGGGGACAGAAGCAAAACAAATATTCTAGCCATTCGAAGTGAAGATCTCCGGCAGAAGATTTGCACAGTGGGGCCGAGGGTTCGAATTCCTGCGGATAGAGTTTAAACATTGTTTATATTCGATGAGGGCGTCCTGGGAAATTTGTGGCCATGCAGGGTACCCTGCATTTATACACAAAAAAAGTGAACGATATGTATACCATTTTTTGTTTGGGCGGTTGAGAACACCGAGCCTAGTTTTGATTTGGGGGACCCACCTCCCTCAACAACTGATAATATATATATGTATACCATTTTTTGATTGGGCGGTTGAGAACACCGAGCCTAGTTTTGATTTGGGGGACCCACCTCCCTCAACAACTGATTTTTTGATTGGGCGGTTGAGAACACCGAGCCTAGTTTTGATTTGGGGGACCCACCTCCCTCAACAACTGATATATACAATTTTTGATTGGGCGGTTGAGAACACCGAGCCTAGTTTAAAGATTTGGGGGACCCACCTCCCTCAACAACTGATTTTTTGATTGGGCGGTTGAGAACACCGAGCCTAGTTTTGATTTGGGGGACCCACCTCCCTCAACAACTGATATATACAATTTTTGATTGGGCGGTTGAGAACACCGAGCCTAGTTTTGATTTGGGGGACCCACCTCCCTCAACAACTGATGACACCCCTCGCCTGAGTGGCCGGGTTGGCCGGCTCCATCTCCAGATCCTTAAAATAGCGCGGTCATACATGTATACATGTTATATATATATATATATATAATTTATAATATGTACATGTGTATATATATATTATATATATATATTATAATTATATATATATCACCGCTTGTGCTCATGAACATGATCAGTCGAGGCATACTTCTGTGCAGCATTTTCCCAATTTCTGAACTTGTGGCAGAATTTGAACTATTTGACTATTCAAAGATCTTGCATCAAGCTTTGGTGCATCGACCAAATTTGGGGCTCTGGCCAGCAGTGCTTGCGAAAGCTGAATCTCCGGATCCGGGATGTTGGGCGCAGAATCCTGCAGCGACCAGTCGACTGCACCATGCAAGCGCTAGCGCTAGCGCTGGATCAAGCTGACAATTTGCATACAACTTCCAACATCTTCCAACAAGCAAAAAGCTGTGCATTAACCAGCAGCAGTCGACTTGATCATGCATGCATGGATTGGCAAGTCTGGCCACACGGTGCATCGATTAAATCGATTTTCATCGATCGATATAATCGGTATACGTGAATCAAATCGCTGGGGCCTGGGCAGCCTTCTCGAGCTCTTTCGGTGCACCAACCTGGGCACCGGCAAGATTTGCAAATGGCTGATCACCAAACATTGCAGGGCTTTCCGGGGCTACTGTACATGTGTCAGGTGGGTTGCCGCATGCAAGCTCCATGACCAACACGCTTGACAAATGCCATGATTGGCATACAGCCCTGGTGGCGTTGAGTACTAAGATGCTGGCATCCTGCTCGAGCTTGTGCGACAGCATGCCCACCTGCATGCTCATGATTGACGCTTGCGTTTGGCAGTCATATAGCATGCATGATATGTTGAGCTCAAGGGTGCAACATATTATATATATATATATATATACGTATACGTATATACATATATATATTTTTTATATATATATAACAACTGTATATATATATATATTATATTGCCAGGCCTGAGATGGCAACGGCTCCGTTCTCGTGATCGTGCTTGGAGTCCCCGCATCTGCCTGACAGGCTTTGCAGGGGGGAGGATTGCCCTGCTATCCAGGCTGGCCGAGGCCAAGAATGTGTTTGTGTTGGTGAGGTGGTGGGTTTGGGTGGTTGCCCCAAGAGGGATGTGAAATGCCCGTGACTGGAATTCTTGTTTGGTGGCCTTTCTGAAAGTGACCACCCTGTTCGTGCGTCCTTGGTTTTGGCAAGCCAGCAAGTGGGTACAAAGGGTGCATGCTCTTTAAGCGGAGTGGGTGGATCTCTTGCTCGGATTCCCAAAATGAATGTGTACAATCATGTACCCGGTGAAGGGAACAGGTCGACATTTGTTTCCTGTTTCAGGTAGGTGTTCGATGTTTCTTCTTGATAGGCATAGCTTGGATGAAAGTTTGGTTTGACGTAAAACACTTTTGGGGGTGCTATACACTGTATAGCCACCGGTACCCTGGCCAGTCACCCAGCCTCCGAAGATCCACATAGCTTTCCAGCTTCCTGGCCGGCCAAACCGTTTAATATTTATTTAGGTTAGCGTGAAAGGTCCGCCTGCTTCGGGTCGAGTTCAGCTTTCGGGGCAGCACAAGCCTGGGAGGAAACCAGAAACTTCAATTTGCAAGACTTTGGTCAGCTCAATTATGCATACATTGTTGGCGTCAAGTGTGCACGATGAGAATTGAGGGTCTGACCGGCATGGCGGATGTAGCTTCTGCATGGTCTTCAGCCACCTGACAGCGCATTCTTTCAAGGAATTCTTCCATGATCGATTAAAGACTGTTGCATCGGGGACTTTATCTGGTTAATGTTTCTTGTGCCTCGAGCATTTTGCTAGGAAACAGCCCAGGGCGGAGTCGAACCAATGTTTTGCTACAGCATGTTCAACCTAACCTATATATGTCTTGCACACTGGTAGCACCCATTGGGCAACTGGGCCAGTAGATAGACTTAAGCTTATGTCCTATCAGCAAATTATTGCAATGTATGGTGGTACTTTGTTATAAGATCACAAGGCCCGTGCCTCCTCATCATCGGTGTCGATGCCATCAGCGGTGTCCTGCCAAGAGAGCATATATATATATATATATATGTCTTTCTTCAAAACGCATTTGCATTTTTTTGGAATCATCATTCAATATTGCAATGAGCAAACCTTTAAAGTTATTTTTCCTTTAAAATGCATTTGCATTTTTGGGGGATCATCATTCAATATTGCAATTGCGAAGCAAGGGTCTGGCCTTGTGCGATCCCGCCCCAGCATCCTCCACGCTGCCAGACTCCCTGATGATAGCCTTCAACACCCTCACCTTTGAGGAGCGGGAGCCACCGGATCGGCTCGTAAGGTCCAGTGCGTGCATGGCGAGTGCCCGAGCGCACCCACCCTGGTAGGCTGCCCACGCCTGGCGCAAGATTGCACGTGTTTTTTTTGTAATAAGGGTCAACACACATAGCCTTGATCGACTTGGCCGGCGTTCTCGTGGGGAAAACCCCGTAGCGCTCCGCCATGCATTTGAACACCGCCTGTGGCAGCAGCAGGAAACCCACACAATGATTTGTCCATTTTTACAATCAAACCATTTTATAGAACCGGCCTTGAACGTTGGTATGCTGGGCATCAACGAAGTGCGAGGGAACGCTGCGAGCAGGGGGCTCAGAAAATCAAAGTTGTCTTCCAAGCCCTCAGTGCATTCAACCCCCTTAGAGAGGGCAAACAGCTGATGTTGAGCATGGTTTCGCAACTGCATCAGGCGGTCCCCGCTTTTCAGCCAGCTGTCCACCACCTCCTGGCACAGTAGTTCGATCGATCATGGACCCGCCATGCACAAAGCACGCGCATGCATGATTATGCTAGCTTAATGCGCAATCATCGAGCCTCAAGCAAAGGGTAGGCCAAGGTCAGGTCGGTGTTCCCCTAGCCAGTGTGCAATATGCCATACATGATATATTGTGTATATAGCGATGAATGCGCCTTGTTCCCGCTGTCGGAGTTCGACGAGTCCGCCATGCCGCCAGGAGACCGCCGATCGAGCCACACCAGCTCAACGATCGAAAAATGGCACACACGTGCTGCATGCCGGCAGGTCGAATGCACTTGGTTGCTGTTGACCCCCCTGCAAAAAGTTTACCTTTTTGGGGGTTTAGTGCGTGGAAAACACCATCATTTCCCAAACAGTTAAAGTCTAAAGATCCTTACCCAATATAATGCAGTCAAGTGCAGGGCTGGGGATTTCAGTACGTAGGCATGTGCTTCCCATTCAATTATTTTTGGTGCATTGTACATTGCCATAAATCAGCCCATTTAAAGAATATAGAAAGCACATACCATAGCACTGAATGACTAGCGCCTGGTGGCGGAGTCCTCGACCTTGATGCTTGCGGCCCCCATTGGCCTCAATCACGGATCATGGTAGCGGGTGATATATATAACAGTTTCAAGGAAAATCATTTTGTTCGAAATCTGAGGAGCCAACTGGCTGCAATAGCACGTTGCATTGCCCATAGCGCGATTCGGCGATGATGCCGGCTAGAGTTTTAATTATTACTGCAACATGGCCGATGCAAGTTTGCCACCTGTTGCAAAACAGGGGTTCCCGGCATGTCACATGCCTCACATCGATGGGTCCAGAAAACGGATAGGATGCGTTTATGTGGTCCCCCCGGGTTCTTCAACTATAATTTGTGAGCTCTGTTCATTGTCCTGCAGGGGGGGATCCACTAAAAGCGCATCCTAAACCCGGTTCCTGGAAATCATGTCACATGCTCCGCTTCTGCCATGTGTGATTTGAGCCGGGATGGGTCGTGGATCGCTCGATTTCGATAATGTCCCCCCTCATGAGGTACACGCAGTTCGTACCCTCTCAGACCCCACATATGGCATGTTGGTGACTATTCCCTACAGGGAGCCCGAGGGCTCAGAAAAAAAGAGACAAGAAACAACAGCACGTTGAAGCGGTGTGACTTCCTGTACATGAGCCTCAAGAGTTAGAATGGGGTTGCGGCGCAAGGACGTCATTTTCCAGCAATCCATGAAAGTGGACGTGCGGGTCTCGGAGAGTAGTCTTCCCACACCCTGTCGGAAGGCGGGCCTAAGACAAATCAAGTTTCAGGCTACACAAGGCCTTCATGGTAAAAACTTTGCGGGGTGCGGAGTCCTTGAAAGCGAGAAGTCGGGCCCAAATAGTTCGCCCTTTTCCAGCCCGCTTCAGAGCGTTGCTTTTATCAGGGCTAATTTCGCAGAAGTGTGGCGAATCCTGTTTATGGCCTCTACGTGCTGCATGCCAGCTTCTCAGATGCTTTCTTACGGCCTGCGTTGCTCACCACTCAACCTCAATGTCAGGAAGACAAGTGTTTTTGTTTTTCCTCGCAGAGCAGTGGACGTCAGACCAATACGCCATACGTGGTTTGAGCTTGGCCAGAAACAATTTACCATTGGCTAACTTCATCCAGACAAGGTATTTGCTGGTCTTAGTCGGCTCAATCTGGGGAAGCAAGTAAAGGAGGCCGATTTGAGGGCTAGTCTCAGTCAGTGTTCCCAAGAAAGGCTGACGAAGCCCCTCAACCGTTGGGTTGAGTTTGTGAGAGGCTCTAGGCCCTCCCAACCATCAAATTGTCGAATTCCCGGCTCGCAACAAAGCATCCCGCGGCTGAGTTAGTCGCAGGAGGAGTGATAGTCACAGGGGGGCCCACTGAAACCGCAATTCAAACAATGAGGCCAAAAGGAAGCCAAAAGAGAAACCAACAGGAAGTGGGACCGGAAGGAACCAAAAGGAAGACCACATCCATCACCAATGTCTGATGTACATCTTTTTTTTACTCGGTCCTCAAGAATACGCAGATTTGGGAGACGCTGAGCTTATTCATTACTTGTTTGCCTCATTTCTGCCGGACTATCTATCCCATACTGGGGGTATATGTTGTTCCCGCCAAAAAGCGCAAGAGGAGCCAAAAGGCGGCGGCTCGAAGGCGCCGGCTCGAAGGTGTGGATCCCAAAGAGTGCGTCTTCAACCGCGGCATCTTCGTGATGGACGTGCTGGAGTCCCCCGGCTTGCGCCGGTCGGGTTTCGGTTTTGGGGGTGCATGCGGTCCGGCATTCCGTGGGTGGGGCAATTCCCCACAGGCGCTTTGGGGATACCTCATACTTGAGGGTCATGGATGGAGTGGGATAGGCGGTTCTGTGTTTAGCTACCCTTGTGGCAGACTTTCCATCGCCTGGGAGCCGCCATGGAGTTGCAGTCCGGCCAGTTGATTCGCAGGTGCACCTCGAGGAACCAACCTCTCAGCCCGAACTGGGTGTGTCCTTGTTTGAAGGTACTCTCTCCTTTTTTAAAAGATGGGTTTACGGGGGACAAAGGGGAACAACACGATTTTTGAGGGCCAAGTTTTGCTGCAGATGATGATAATTATTAGTACAGCTCCCAGCTTCTTACGTTGGAGTTTGAGAGTCAGTTCTCTGGGGTGTCATGCCCAAAAGGCCAGAAACTGGCCACTCAGCAGTTTCAGGGACCAAGAGGCCCCAAAGACCCCAAAGACCCCAGCCAGGGCAGACTTTGCGGCGAAGGGGCGCAATTGTTTCGGAGTCCTTGAGGAGGGCCCCTGTTCGGTTTTTCAGGCACCTGGGTCTGGTTTAAACTGGGATCTGCTACAAAAAATGTTATGGCACATACCATACTATTCATTTATGTATGCATATCTATGTATTGCAAATATGCTTCTGTGTAGCCCAGATGGTCAGGGTGCCATAGCAAAGGGGTTCACGTCGGGTACACTCACCAAACTGCCTTGAGGAAATGAACGCTTACCAAATTGCTGAAGAGGAGCACAACTGTGACTCAAACAAATCCAGCCTTGTTGCCAGTTACTTTTCAGAGAAACACCTTGACTTCAGTTGGGACCTTTTTCCTTTCAAGGCTGTAACCCCAGTGATTCAAGCAAATAGATGCTATTTTACTCGCTTCCCCAGTTTTTGGGACTGCGAGATTGGGACGAAGTTCCGGCTTACGCAGCTTGTTTGGAAAACGCAGGACGGTGCAAAAGTTCAGACCATTTCGGGCCAATCCACTCCGGAAGTCAGTTTGTTGTGGCACACGGTTCCCTTTTTTGTTTAGTGGCCGCAAGTGATGCCCCAAAACATGGTCAACCCCAAAAAGAGGGCTTCCTTTTTCTATCAGGGTCATTGTTTGGGTGCCAAATAGCCCAGACGTTTCAATCGGAAGCCAAAAGGGGATTGTTTTTTTTCCCCATTTTCTCGACGCCAGTAGTGCAACGACAAAACTTTTGTGGCTCCCAGCCGTCCCCTGAGCTTTTTAGCTTTCTTGCGTTCAGAGGTCGGGTTTTCACTGGACCCGCCAACACTTATTCACTTTTAGCGGGGGAGCAGAAAACAGACGGCCCAGAAAAGGCTACGCCTTGACTGCAATGGGTCAAGGTGGAAGAAGCGGCAAATCACCCGAGACATTGAGCGCTGGATGGCCAAGTACCGTGAGTCCAAGAAGGATGGGAAGAGCAGGGGTGCTTCGAATGGGCATGCAGGTTCCCCAAACCCCAGCGGACTGAGCGGGATTGACTTTGGGGGGTTGCCAACCACTTAGCTAACTGCCAGCGCATCCAAGCGGAGGACCCTGCGAGGATAACGTCAGGCCAAACTCGCGGTCAAATTGACCGTTCGATTGGGTTTTCTATAGGGCTGATTAGCTCCGTAGCCATTCTTGCTCAAGCAATTCGGCTGATGTTCAGGTTGGGCAGAAATACTATGCCATATCAGCTGTGACCGTTTGCAACTTGTCCAGTTTGACGAGGTCGGCTCGGGTGCAATACAGGTAAGCAGGCAAAACGGCTCGGGAGCTGTAGATTTCCTGACATGGTACAGCACGTACAGGAACCTCTTTTTTTTTGTGTGTGCGTGTGTGCGTTTTCTCCATTTGTCTTCTTATATCTCGGTGGCTGCGTTGAATGCTGAGCCAGCATCGTGTTCGCACGCAGTGTTTCATGGGGGCTAGGGAGGAGGGGGAGGCTTAATAATGCCTTATTTCGGGCTTGTTTGGGCTCCCTCCCCCCCACCTCCCCCCCCCCCCCAGCCCCCATGAGGTTTGGCGTTTGGTGCAAGATTACGCCCCAGAGCTTTACAACTTGTTTCAGGGAACTATTCCAGGCTCCCTTTGAAGTGACACGTGACAAAGCAGGGTCCAGCCTGCTCAACCTTTACAAGTAACGCAATTGTCAGAAGCGAACAAAGTGGCCACGGGCTGCTTAATTAAAACGCGGTAACTCATGCCCACTAGACACCTGAGCCACTTGGTCCTTTGCGCCTTGGGGGGTGTACTTCCACCCACCAGTTCTCATGCACAGGGCTAGTTTTCCGACCTCGAGCCTTCAGGTTGATGGGCCCAAAAAGAACAAACAACAACTGGACTGCGGCTACTCCCTCACACCTCTCTCTTGGCACCTTGGCCGAAACATGCCTTAAGACAGAACGTTTGATTAAGGCTCCCACGCACGCACGCACGCACTCACGCACGCACGCACGCACGCACGCACGCACGCACGCACGCACGCACGCACGCACGCACGCACGCACGCACGCACGCACGCACGCACGCACGCTCGCACGCACGCACGCAAGCACGCACGCACGCACGCACGCACGCACGCACGCACGCACGCACGCACGCACGCACGCACGCACGCACGCACGCACGCACGCACGCACGCACGCACGCACGCACGCACGCACGCAGCCAGCACGCAGCCAGCACGCAGCCAGCACGCAGCCAGCACGCAGCCAGCACGCAGCCAGCACGCAGCCAGCACGCAGCCAGCACGCAGCCAGCACGCAGCCAGCACGCAGCCAGCACGCAGCCAGCACGCACGCACGCACGCACGCACGCACGCACGCACGCACGCACGCACGCACGCACGCACGCACGCACGCTCGCACGCACGCTCGCACACACACACACACACCCGCACGCACGCACGCACGCACGCACGCACGCACGCACGCACGCACGCACGCACGCACGCACGCACGCACGCACGCACGCACGCACGCACGCACGCACGCACGCACGCACGCACGCACGCACGCACGCACGCACGCACGGACGCACGCACGCACGCACGCACGCACGCACGCACGCACGCACGCACGCACGCACGCACGCACGCACGCACGCACGCACGCACGCACGCACGCACGCACGCACGCACGCACGCAAGCTCGCACGCACGCACGCACGCACGCACGCACGCACGCACGCACGCACGCACGCACGCACGCACGCACGCACGCACGCACGCACGCACGCACGCACGCACGCACGCACGCACGCACGCACGCACGCACGCACGCACGCACGCACGCACGCACGCACGCACGCACGCACGCACGCACGCACGCACGCACGCACGCACGCACGCACGCACGCACGCACGCACGCACGCACGCACGCACGCACGCAAGCACGCACGCACGCACGCACGCACGCACGCACGCACGCACGCACGCACGCACGCACGCACGCACGCACGCACGCACGCACGCACGCACGCACGCACGCACGCACGCACGCACGCACGCACGCACGCACGCACACGGACCACACAGTCAACCAGTGAAGCCTGTTGCGAGGACATCTACAAGTTTGGGATGTCTCAGCCGCCCTGGCTACTGGCGCTGCATGGGAAGTATCACCAGCTGGGTCGACGTCTCAGTCAGGGACACCACCTTCAGTCAGCCTGGGGACGTTGACCCCCACCCCACACAAAAGAACCAATGAGCTCCTCATGAACCAAAAAAAACACCAAAACAAAACAAAACAAAAAAATGAGCTCCTCCTGTTCACCATCGCTTTGTAGGGTCACCACTTCAGCCCCTGTTCCTGGTTCCCCTCAGCGTGAACATGTCAAGGCTTCGCCGACCTTGGAGTTATGTTAAGCCTGGACCCATGGTTCCCTAACTCTCAACCCCCCCTGATTCATGACACATGCAACGCCAATATACACATGCATATATATGTATATATAATATGCCACGATATCTCCCATTTTGCCCCCATTAAGAAGGGGCCAAATTGTGAACACTGCACTTGGCTCATGACTGAAGTTAAGAAAAGTATCGACACCCCCCTAAGTATTTGGGCCCTTGCATCTTCAGGTAATCATCAGTTGGTGATTTGGATTGGTGGCTTGGGGATTCTTGCAGGGGGAGAATGGGAAACCAGCCCCCTTTTTCACCTTTCTCTTTGAAACCCGCCCAATAAAGGGGGTACCAAGGCTGAAAAGAAGACGAGCCACTCATCTTTACTTGGTGGCTCCTAGCCATCCCCTTTGGCTTTTAGCCTTTTAGTGTTCGTGGTAGTTTCCATTTAACCCACTAACAGTTGTCCACTTTTAGGCGGGGGATCTGAGGCCAGCCCAGTTTAACATGGTTTCTTGATGTCCCCATCGGCAGGTGCGGAGTGGAACTGCCGCGGCCTGGGCCGAGAGGCGCTGTCACTGCAGGACGGACAGGTTTTTCTCCAGCTCCTTTCTTTGGGCCCCCAGGCACTCCCACTGGAAACCACAAGTCAGTGTCAACTTGTCCACAAAATCCCGTGACCCCAAGAGGGAACACCATATTTAGCAAAGTTTGGGTTGGTGGCTCTTTGTACTCAGATCACTTGGCGGTTGTTTTCGCGGGAATCTGAAAGGGGATGGGCATTTGTTTTCTATAATCTTCTATAGTTTTGACGCTCCACCAGTGAATTGCAACTTTTCCAGGAAACCCCCGTGACCCAAGAAGGAAGACCATTTTAGTAAAGCTTGGGTGGCTTCTTGTTGGAACGCCAAGGGGATGGGTAGGTGTTTTCTGTTTTTTGACGCGCCGGATGCCGAGCGCCTCACATCAGAGGAGCTGAAGGCGCTGAAGGCGGAGCTGAAGCTGAGCTTCAAGGAGCTTCAGAAGGCATGGCTCTGGGCGCTGGGCGCTGGGCGCGCGCTGAGGGATTTTTTGTTCGGAGCGAGGTCTCTTCACTGCGATTGGCCTGGATCTTTGGACTTCCACTTTTTGGGGAAAACATGTTTGGGGGGTTCCACTAAACCCCCCAAAAGGTGAAGAGCTTTTTGCGGGGTCAACAGCAACCAAGTTCTGTGTGGAGTCAAACTGCTGGACCCTTGGGTGTCTCACCCCCCGCCCATCCCTTCAGGTCAAGCCCTGAAGGACTTGAGGCTCCCAGGTGCTTAAGAAGATCTTCGTCTGGTGCCCTTTTACCTTGTTTTGGTTGGGAGGGTTCCCCTACTAAAATCGACTACAGAAGAAAAGGTACCAACTTATTCTAACACCTCCACTGGAGGACCTAGTTGTTTTCTCATTTGAGAAGGATCCCTGAACGGCGCATTGCGGCCCATATTGATTCAGCACAGAAGGTGTGCTTGTTTTAATTGAATGTTTGGCGTGGCGCTCTGTTCAATCTTGGCGTACATGGAAAACGGTTGGAACCCATTTTTGAGGGTCGGGTCCGAACTCCGATTTCCGCACTTCTTTGCCCTTGTGCATCCCCTTAAAAAGGGAATTGGCGGAGGGGCTGGAAGTCCTTCATGTTTCCTATTGCCACCTTTGTAAGGAAGACTAGATACATGGGAAAAAGGGGAGCCTTGCCCTTTGGATGTGCATCACCTTTCCTTTCGAACAACAAAATGAGGGTATTCCCTTTAAGGCCAACAGAAGAACCAACCCGTTTTTGGTCGTCCATGGGACACCTCTAGGGAAAACCAAAGCAATGTGTGTGACCACCTTAGACCACCCGGAGTGTCAGAAACGACAAGGAACCCACATACCCTCACTCGCCGCTTATGGCGAATGAATAGATCTGACCTTTTGCGTTTGGTACCCATTTTAGTAGCCCCAAAAGCTTAGTACTATCTGGATCCTTTAGCTTGCGGCTTGCATCAGAGAGTCTTTGGTGCCTGTCCGCCATGCCTTGGGTTGCATTCGTTTCGGGGTCTTCAAATTACTTCTTGGGGCTGGGAAACCCCTTTAAGCCTTTTCAGATGTCATTTGTTATGGCATGACTTCAGCAGACACTCTTGCAGACCGGAACCCGAACCACAAAAGTTCGCAATAGTTGCTTTTCGGCGTGGTTCAACTAGCCGCCAGTTGGAGTGGAATCGGACTAGTCCGGAGGATCATGGCAGTACTGTTCATGGGCAAAATCAATTTTGCACCACCTAAGAAACCATAGTTGAAACTTGAAACCATGGTGCGTTGATATTTTTGGATCGCATCATTCCCTGAACCCCCCGCCCCCAATACAGCATGCTTTACCACTCCGATTGGAACACCTGATTGGTACCTTCCGGAATCCGAAATTTACAAGAGCGGTGGCACAAAAAAAGCGGGAACCGAAATAACACTGAAATGCCAGTTTTGTTGGGTCGTTAGTCTTTTCAAACCTTCATGTGGCCTGCTCTTTATTTGGGAACGGAGCTCTCAATCAGGAACCTTGCAAACCACCCAATAAAGTGGGGCTCAAGATATGCCTCGATTACTCTGGCCAAGAGTGCCAAGGCTTGAACGGTGGGGGGGGTTCTTCGAGGAGGGGTGTAGGATCTGGGGCTACTGACAGGTCGACAAGACAAAGCATTGACTTCCAATTTGCTTCTATCTATCACCTGTCCCCACCCCCGAAGTAAGGGCGTTGTACTTGGATTCCCCAGTCCATTTAGTAAAGGGAAAGCCCTGGTTTTTTGAAGGGGAAATGCCTCCATTCCCACCCCTAACTGACAATCAGGAGGGCTCACGTGCAACCATGAGGATTGCAGATGAACAGGGGCAATGCTGATGACCACCTCATGTCAGAATATTCCCGCAGCCAAGTCCCCGTTTCAAGAAGATTTCCCCTTTCTAGAATGCACGGGCACTTGTGAGGTGGGGACGTGGGGATACCAAGCACACGCTATATGATGCATACAAGTGATTGTTCCGCCTTAAAGGGCATGGGAAAGTTCGTGGGTGCCCCCCAAATCTCACTTCCTGGGTTCCTGGACTTATATACCTTTTGGGAAGACCACTTGGGAGGTAAAAGAATAGTTTTTGGTGACTTTTTGCGGCCCGTGCACTCAGGAAGTGAGCTAAGTCCCCAAATGCAGAGACGTGTTTCGACCGATATGGCCGTGGTTGTCAAAACCAAAGGGTAGGTGAAAATTCGCCACCCATTGTAGACCCTATTTCAGTGGGGATTGGGATGTTCACTCGGGGGTACGATTTGGATTTTGACCCATGGCCATATCGCTTCCATGTTCCCACCAGGTGGGTGCCAGAGCCATGGGGGACCAGGCCCAGCCCTACATCGCGCCGCCTGGCGCACTTGGTTTTTGTTTGTTCATCCCTTCGGGGTAAGCTCCATGAGCATAGGTGTCCTTGGTTGAAAAATAGATGGTGATTCCTGGTGTGCCTGGTGGTTTAATCATCTACCAGGGCCATCTATTTCACCTAGAAGGACATGTCCATGAGGCCTTCTCACTTGCCTCAAATGGGTATCAAAGAGATCGTTGTAGCAGTCTTGGTCCAGTCTGCCAACCTCATCCCTGTTCGCTTGGCCAACCGCAAGGCGGGCTTCGAGTGAACTCCAAGCTGGCCTTGGCAACCCTGCGGCCGAATCCCAGAAAATCGCCAAGGGTTTGGGTACGACCCGTTCAAAACACAAAATCAATGAACACCAATCCCTAAGAAAAGCACTCCCTTGTCCGGGTCGCAAACACACGACCGACACTCAAGTTTTGAGTAGGATCTGCTCGTTGGGCCCATGGGGACCTACTTCCTGTGATATTCGTTACTTCCCTGACGTGATGTGCTCAACCGAGTAGGGACCGGGCCCAGCTTAAGACAAGTCCACTCACTTCCTGAGTTCCCGGCCTTTGTACTTTTTGGGCGGCAAATGTGAAGTTTGGACTTTGTTTGGCCACTTCGGAAGTGGGTCTAAGGGTTGAGCCCCACTTTTCTGAGAAGCATCCCTGAACTAATGGGGTAGGGTTAGGATGCAGTGCACATGTTGCCAGTGACTGAAAGTGAAGCAACCGATAAAATATATAATTATTCTAGAACTGGATGGTGATGGGTGGTGTTAAACTTCCATTGGGTTAAGAATAGTTGTTATTTTCCCCTGTTGGTTTTAAAGGGAATCTATCACTACTGGATTTGTTTGTTTTCCGGGGGACTTAAGCAAATGGTGTTAAAGGGAAAGGAGAAGAAAACAGTTCATGTTAAGGATCCCCCCCAGCTGCCCGCCCACCGAACCAACCAGCAATGTCTGGCCAGCCTAGGGAAACGCCATCCCTACTGTGGACAAGATTCACCTCACACCAGATCGAAGGTGGTTCCTAGTTTATCCCAGCACTTGGGCTTTCATGCCCGCAACTGATGCGAAGTGGAATTTGTCCATCCACAGTATTTTCACTGTTGTTGGCAAGTGTTCAAGTTTTGTGGTTTGTTGGTTCTGTTCAATTTTAGCAGGGAGCTGTAAAACACAGTTGCTTGCTACCAAGGGTTGGAAAGTTGAGAGCCCCCTAGATGCACAAAGAATGGTGCACGCGCCATGGATTTGGATCCTAAGGGTCCATTAAGGGCCAAATCCCTATTTTGTCCGAAAGATCCCCCCATTGATCCACAAACCTGCTTGGAAACACAGGAAGCGGGGGCCTACCAGGTGTCCTGGCATGTTGTTCCACAGGTTGCAAGCAAAGAAGAAACATCCGCTGCAATTTGAACCCCGCTTTGACGAGCGCGCGAGGTCCTGCTCCGACGACGCCGAGGTGCTGCACTTCAACGGCAAGCTGAAGCCCTGGCGATCCAACCGCTGGGCATCCCGACCAGATCAGATCACAGCCCATCTTGACTGCTATCCGGTTGGATCTTTAGACTTTCTCACTTTTTTGGGGGAAAAATGCCGGTTTTCCACTAACCCCCCCAAAAAGTGGATTTTTTTGCAGGGGGGGCTACAGCAACCAAGATGCTTAAGAATATGGCTTCATATTTTTCCCTTGCTGGTTTTAAAGGGAGTCTATCACTACTGGAAATATGTCTTTATTTCTCGTTGTTTCCTGGAGGCTTCAGCACATTCAAAGGGGAACTCAAGCAACAAACTGGGTGAACGTTTGGGTTCATCTTACATCTTTGCCCGGTGCAAAGTGGCAGATTTTGTCCATCCACAGTGTTGAACGTTGACTATGCTGACCAAACAATGGCCATTTCCATCAAATTCGCAGGTCCGCAGGCAGCCTTCGCCGATGTGCATGGTGAAGGCCGAGGCCTTCCCATCCCTTCCGCGGAAGTCGGTGGCCGGCAAGACCTTTGTGCGCTGCGCGGACATCTGGCCCGAGCCCCAGATTCGGCCGTGGTCCAAGAATGCCGAAATGGTGGTGGTTCCTTTGGTTCCCCTTCAAAGTTACTCTAAACGTGGCACCCCCATCGTTCCCAAGACCCAATCATGACCAGTGGCCTTGTTACTATATCTCATCCAGATTTTAATCAACCCTGCATCGCTATGCCATCTCAGATGGAAGTGCGTTCCCTTCTGGCACTGGTTCCCCTGTTATGGTGGTGTCCCACTTACTATGGATTGTGGATTCGAAGTAGGGGCCCCCGCCATTTTGAACACCCAACTTACGGGCAAACCCGGCCAAACAAGGCCTAAGCAACGGAGGGTCCTTGGCGGGCAGTCAAAGCCAAATCGGGAGGAACGCTCCACTGACTCGACCTGGGGCAAGCAAATGCGGCGCAAGAGCTTGACCAGGACAGCCCCAGAAAGAACTTGCCACTTACTTAACCAGGAACAAGCACATGCAGCCCGTGAAGGAACCCGCCACTTGCTTGACCAGGGACAAGCACATGCAACGAACTTGCCGCTTACTTGACCAGGACAATGCACATACAGCCCAAGAGGGAACGCGCCACTTACCTGCCCAGGAGTTGTGCACATGCAGCCCAAGAAAGAACGCGCCACGAACTTCACCAGCAACAAGCACGCACCCCAAGAAAGAACACGCCATTTACTTCACCAGGAACAAGCACGCACCCCAAGAAAGAACTTGCCACGTACTTGACCAGGGACAAGCACCTGCAGCCCAAGAAGGAACGCGCCACGAACTTCACCAGCAACAGCACCACCCCAAGAAAGAACACGCCATTTACTTCACCAGGAACAAGCACGCACCCCAAGAAAGAACTTGCCACGTACTTGACCAGGGACAAGCACCTGCAGCCCAAGAAGGAACGCGCCACGAACTTCACCAGCAACAAGCACGCACCCCAAGAAAGAACACGCCATTTACTTCACCAGGAACAAGCACGCACCAAGAAAGAACTTGCCACGTACTTGACCAGGGACAAGCACCTGCAGCCCAAGAAGGAACGCGCCACGAACTTCACCAGCAACAAGCACGCACCCCAAGAAAGAAAAAGCCACTTTACTTCACCAGGAACAAGCACGCACCCCAAGAAAGAACTTGCCACGTACTTGACCAGGGACAAGCACCTGCAGCCCAAGAAGGAACGCGCCACGTGCTTGACCAGCAACAAGCACGCACCCCAAGAAAGAACACGCCATTTACTTCACCAGGAACAAGCACGCACCCCAAGAAAGAACTTGCCACGTACTTGACCAGGGACAAGCACCTGCAGCCCAAGAAGGAACGCGCCACGTGCTTGACCAGCAACAAGCACGCACCCCAAGAAAGAACACGCCATTTACTTCACCAGGAACAAGCACGCACCCCAAGAAAGAACTTGCCACGTACTTGACCAGGGACAAGCACCTGCAGCCCAAGAAGGAACGCGCCACGTGCTTGACCAGCATGCTTACTCTCCTAAGCAGTGTATGGAACGGGGCGGCTTACCCCACTGGTCTTGCTGAACTAGGATCCGCTCCCTTCTTTGCGCAAGGGTTTTGTAGGAAGTGAGGGCACTCGTTTCCCCGGTTGGGAGGTGTGGGTGGGCGCCTCGAAACATGTTCGGCGGACGGGGCTTGGCCCGGAAGGAAGGCTTCTTGCAACACCATGCGTATGAAAGACATTCAAAGGAAATGGGAGGAGTTTGTGGAACGTGCGGATCGCCAAAAAGCGATACCTTCCGCACTTCAACTCATAATTTGGAGTACGGCCACTAGGCTCAAAATTCTAGCCAGGTCCATACATTCTTCGTCTGACGCCATTCGTCCTTCCAGCAAACACAGCCCTGCTACCACTGTGAGGATCGAAGCTGGGGATAAGAAGCGTGATGGTCTCGTGATTCCTTGGAAAAAAGCAGGAGACGCGGGCCGTGTGCATAGAACGCTATCACACGACCAGTGCTTGGTAAGCACAGGGCTGTGGGCAGCGCCAAACAACATCTTTTCTGAGGCCTCAAGGCCTGAGACCTCGTCAAATGGATTCCGCGGGGCTTGGGGGGCCCAAATTGCAGCGGCTTGCCCGGGGGCTTGGGGGGCCCAAATTGCAGCGGCTTGCCCCGGGGGATTGAATTACTGGTAGCACACTTCTACCGAAACACGAGCCCCACAAACACACGGCCTCTTCATCGACTATGGGTCTAATTCTTAAGCAATTTGCTTGCCATTACCAAGAAGCACCTTCCAACCAAGCAGTTTACACAAGTCCCCCGACGCAGTTACAACCAAGAGGTTCCCAGGCCCCAGGAGCGCACAGATGTCGAAACCAAAAGACACCAAAACCAAGCCAAAAGGACATCACCCCCTTCCCGCGGAAGCTAAGAAAACCAACCGCAAAACCATCAGAGACCCCGCGATTCTCGAGGTCTAACTTCCTGTCCCCGGAGGCCGCGCAGCTTCTGAACGCCACCGCGGTGAACTTCTACAAAGTGAATGCTTAATCTTTGGCGCTCGTTTTGACCACAGCGTTTTTATATCCTACAAAAACACCGCATTTGTTCTACACTCCAGGCAATCTCTGTCACAAAGGTCCAATGAGATGTCCGTGTCAAGCCATATTTTTGTAGCAGCTTGGCTTGGTTGCCAGTTTGAAGTGAGTTTGCCAACTGGCGGACGCGCTTTCAGCTGGTGGGCAAAGGAGTTTCACCTCACCTTGAGTGAGTCGGAAGTCTGCGTTTAAGCCTCGAAAGAGCCGCCTCATGTGATGGTTGGTCGCCCAAAAGTTTGAGAGACAACTTCTGGGGCCCTCATGGAAAGGTCTCTGAATTCAGAGGTGCTTATGCTTGCTGGTGCGATAGGTAGGGAACGACCTTCCGGGTTTGGGAATGAACCTGGGGGTGCCCTTTCCCTGCTGAGCACCAGCAACCACTTAGCTAATTTTCAGGCCACCTGAGTAAGAGGCGCCGTTTCAGCCTCCCACCGACAATCATGGAAGTGCCATTCACAAGAGGAAGCACGTCTTCCAAAAGGGGGCCGTGTGCGAAATCAGAAAAAGCAATGACCCGCTTTTGTAGGATTTGGCTTCTCTTGGTATGACAAGCTTATCAACCAAAAATGGGACATGGCTCGACAAAATGATTCCATGGCAATGAACTGTTCATGGGGGACGCCCTCAAGAAACTGTTGATGTGCTTTTGACGTTCACTAAGAAGGGTCCCTACTTACGACACACCCATACCTGACATCTTCCTGGAATGACCCACCAATCTATGCGAACTGCTGGCAGGGGGAGGGAATATTATGGGCGCGTTGCTGTGTTGGGTGAGGGCTTCGGAGGGTGAGCTTCAAGCTTCGCCTCTGGGTATCCCCAAGTAAGACTCTAACAGGGGCGCACAGGGAAGGGCGGGGTTGAGGTGGATCCTGGGATCCGTGCAGCGTTTGCCAACCGCCGCTCAAACTTCTCCTCAAGACCTTGCCGCGGAACAATTGCCGCGAGGTTCAGCCGATCCGGGATTTGTGCCCCATGTTGCCCGCTGCCCGGCATCCCCCTGGGTGGATATGGAGTGTTTGCACGGTGTTTCACACGCACAACTAAACAGGAGACAGGCAAAAGGTGCAGATGGACAGTATTCAGCACTGGGATGTTGCCTGCAATGTGAGCCTATGTGTGCGCGGCACCATGGCAGCTCGTCTCAAGCGGGCTGCTTTTCAGATTAAGAAACTTCCAGGAGTACGGCTGGCTGATCCTTCCCTCGTGGGTTGCGCAAGGCATTTCCCCTTTGCAGTGGTTAACCCATTGACTAGGGGTTGAGGAAAGTCGGGTTGGCCAATTCTCGATGTTGAAGCCGCGTCGGACCTGTTCCTTTATATAGTGTCCCGCTTTCAGCAATGGCCCGCTCAACAAGTCTTGCTTGGTGGGCGAAGTCAAAGTGGCCAGAAACCCTGGGTAACCCACTTGCAAGTCCCCCATGCTTGGCCGCCTGACCCTTGATGTCTCTCGCGATCTCGCGGCCAGCCAGCTCTTTGGGCGCCCTTCTGCCCACCAGTCAGGTTGCTTACCGCTTCAATCTCCGGGTCGGTATCCCTTGATTTGTATGTTGTTTCAGGGCAAAAGGGGGCCACGGATGGATCAACTTTGCTCACTTCACCAACCACTTAAAGCTTGGTCCGCCTTGTTCCCATGGACATCTGGGAGTGGCTCTCTCTTGGTGGGAATGACCCCGTGTCGGTCGCAAAGGTTTGTGGGAGTGCGGTACTTTTTGGGGGGCGGCCCTTCGGAAACTGATCTGTGGCTCGTTTGCAAGGGCGAAGGTTCGGGCGAGAATGTCTTGGCTAAAAACGCGCACCGCATGTAGAGCCATTGAGCGATCTCCTTTTCAGGACCCTCTTGAGTTCCATGCAAATCGGGGCCTTCCCGTTGCCAAACTCACCAGAGGTTTCCAGAGACTTTTCAGGGCAGAAAATGGGATGTGAGTGTTTTGCACAGCTTAGACATCACCTTGTTTGGCACCTTTCGGAGTCTCCTTGTTTGGAGTGATGTTCAAACATGGGACCCGTGTTGTTCAACTGGCCCCCTGATTTGATCAGCTTTCTCAACCTGCCATGCATCCCCAGCGCCCAGTCAGACTGCTTACCATTGCTTACCACTTTCTCCAGGTCGACATCCCGTTTTGCTGGCTCAGGGGGATCATTCGTGTTCCGTGCCTGGTAAAAGGGGGCCTCCGGAAGTAAAAAAGCGCCGAATTCCCTGTGTTCTCCCTGTGTTTTTCAAGCTTTTGGTAGGCCGGCGTCATCATTTAGGGGCCCAGCATGGTTCCCGTTTTTGCCCCCGACCCACGGGAACCCCACCGTGCATAAGGACGAGCAGCTGAGCCTCAGCCGTGCCCAAGGCTTGGCCAAATGGGCTGTGGCCGCCTGGCATCGGTCGGGGGAAAGCGATGAAACTTGCGATGTGGGTGTGTCTTTCTTTGGAGCCTGAGGGAAAATCACCGGAAAGCCATCTTATGGGGGGTCCCACGGGGTCCCTGAAAAAGCGACACACCCATATGGATACGGCTTGTCAAAGGGTGACCCCTGGGCTGTGAATCAACTGGTTACTTCCGAGTGGTTTCCCTTCAAGCCAAGCAAATCGAGGTTCCCGAGCCTCAACAAACACGCCTATACGAGTTTCTCACACCTGCCACCGTTGGACCTGCAGCGCAGTTCCGTCTTAACTTCTACTCAAGCCAAACAACGTTGCCGAGAGCAAGTTGACTTGAGTGGCAGTCCAGGCTCCTTGCAGACCGGAAAATATGCTTGGAGTCGCAGCGTGTCCTCAGTAGAGTCAGTTCGCTTCATGTTGGATGAGTTGGTGCACAGTTGCACCTGCGGCAAAAGGAACTTGCGTGGGCGTGAGCAACGGTCAAGGTACACCATCATTTTCTGCAGCAAGGCGGATGACATTCCAAACAAAACTGATTTTAGGCCAAGTAAGGGCCTTGCTGGTTGGGCATGCCTTCTACATCCCCAAAAACCGCTCTGAACTGTCAGGTTTTTCTTCGGGGCGTCTTGGGGCGGTGCAACCGGAAATCTGAAGGAGCTGGCTGCAGGGCGGGGGGGAGTCACCCTCTGAGAAAATTCTTCTTTCCTGAACAGTGCATGCAACAATGGTTCATTCTGCCTAACTTACCTAGATTGCAAGGCAAACCAGAACCCAACCGAATATAAAAGATAAATCTAGTTTTTCTACATGCAAGTCCATCTTCAAATTTCGGAATAAGCAGCACATGACAAGCCAGGCGAACCAGGCAAACCAAACCCTTCTCCAGCTGCAGCATACCAAACTCTTGCTGTTTTTGACCGACGGATGGCTTCGACCGTCCGCTCCGAGGCCGAGGCTGTGGCGCGTGTCCTCGCGAACTTCGCAGAGGGTGCCGAGCCCTCCGCGCCCCGGCCGGCGGCATGCGGCGGGTTGGGCGGATCCCGTTTGGCTGCACCCGAAAGAACTGGGTCTCTCCTTCCCCAGAATTGGCCGCCCTTTTTGTTTATTGTTGTTTTTGCTTTTTGGGTGCCCCCTGTGTTTTCCACTCTCCAGGCAAAAGTAAATATATAAAAACAAAAAATGTCGGGATCCTAATTCCAGGCAAGTTAGTCTCAAGTGGCCCGTGGTTAGGAGGTTGATCTAGTTTCCGTTTATCCTCGCCAGTTTTGCCCATGGGTAACTTTTCCCATGGAAAATATGAATATAACATCTTTTGGTGCTCTCCCCCAATCCCATGTACTCAGTTGTCCAAATCCGACCTTTTGACCTTGTGGTTTTCCTAATTTGGTCCATGTCATGACCCCAAAGGTTCACCTTTCATTTCCAGGTCCAAAGCTCAGTGTAGGTTGGCCTTTTCAGCCAGGTACAGTTTCCTGTTCACAAAAGACGCACCCTTCAACCCATTGGGCGGACCTGGGCGGCTTTGGTCGATGGGGACTGACGCCGGCCATGCTCCCAATGTTCTCCTGCACCTGCAAGACCTTGCGGTCGATTTCTGTGTTGCGTGTTTGGGTTGCGAAAGTTGGTGTGCGAAGCTAAGACCATGTTGATGCCACCCCATTCCGCTTTGCAGCACCTGCACTCGCAAACTACCCTCAACTACCCTTAAGATGGGACGCCACCCCATAGTTTTGGAGTTTTGAGGGTCCAGGTCGATTTCGGGGCCGAAAGCTGGAAAAACTTGAGGCGACTCCATCCAAAAGTGCTGGCCGAGGGCTCGGCAAAGGCTTGTCGGCTTGATGGTCGAGGAGCCTATGGCGGACGTCTGTTCTTTTCTTGTTTTTTTTTTTTTTTTTTTTTGGGGGGGGGGGGAAGAGAAAAACAATTCTTACGTGTCTTTCTCTTGTCCTTCTTATTTGTCTTCCTGTTTCTCTTCCATCTCTTCTCTTCTTCTTTTTTGTTCCTAGTTTCTGTCTGGTTGTCTGTCTGGTTTGCGTTTCTTTTCTCTTTCTCTCTTTTCTCTTGCTCTCGGTGCCCCAAACTAGAGTTATTATGCTTTGAAGCTTTTAGCGCCCTGCTTTCGCCAGCTATACTGGCAAAGGCTATGTCAAGACCTTTGTAAACCTTTGTCACTCACCATGCTTGTAGAAAAAAACCGAGTGGTTTGGATGCTGCTCGCTTGGTGAAACGAGCTCGCCGTGAGGGTCCCTTATTCAGGCGTTCATGTTTGTTTTTGTCCTTGGCGGCAGGGGGGGGGGGTGGGGGAATGACTCACTTGGCGCAGGTTGAAGATCTGTGGTAGGTGCCCAGGTTGTTGATTGCTTATATTACCTCGAAGGAACACCCTGATTTGCTACTTTCCTGTGGTGGCTTTCTTTGGTGGTACCTGGCAACTTATACACAGGTTCCTGCGTTTGCCAGGTACGGAACTTGGCCTGTCCCAGAGGTTGTTGCATGCCCCACTTGGGTTGGCCAAAGCCAGTTTTGAGTCTTTGTGCCAAGTGGCAGTTGTCTTTTCGGGGTGCCGGTTAGGCTTCTGGGTTCCCGGTTCTGACGCACCCCGCAACAG